GGGTCGGGTCGGGTCGGATCTGGTGAGCGCGAGATAGGCAGCGCCTCTCTGCGATGTCCTTGATGCAGGGGAGCAGAGCCCCCGTGATCTTCTCCCCTGTCCTCACCACCCTCTGTAGAGACTTCCAGTCAGAGGCCCTGCAGCTCCCAGACCAGATGGAGATGTAGCTGGTCAGTTGGCTCTCGATGGTCCCTCTGTAGAAGGTCTGAAGGATGGGGGACAGGAGGGATGCTCTCTTCATCCCACGCAGGAAGTGCATGCGCTGCTGGTCCTTCTTCACCAGTGAGGAGATGTGGGGAGACCAGCTGAGGTTGTCGTTGATGTGCACCCCCAGGAACTTGGTGCTGCTGACGACCTCCACTGCTGAGTCGTTGATGAGGAGTGGTGTGTGGGTGGGTCTGGATTTCCTGAAGTCTACGATGATCTCCTTGGTCTTGTTGACATTCAGGATCAGGTTGTTCCTCTGCACCGGTCCACCAGATGCCGCACCTCCTCCCTATAGGCCGTCTCGTTGTTGTCCCGGATGAGGCCCACCACTGTGGTGTCGTCCGCGTACTTCAGGATGTGGTTGGATCTGAAGTGTGGACGGCAGTCGTGGGTCATCAGGGTGAACAGCAGGGGGCTCAGGACACAACCCTGAGGGGTGCCGGTGTTCAGGGTGATGACATCGGAGGTGTTGTTCTCCATTCTGACAGCCTGGGTTCTGTCAGTGAGGAAGTCCAGCAGCCAGTTGCAGAGGGGGGTGTTAATTCCTAAGGGGCCCAGTTTGCCCACCAGGTCTTGGGGGATGATGGTGTTGAACGCTGAGCTGAAGTCCAGGAACAGCATCCGCACGTGGGTGTTCTTCTCCTCCAGATGTTCCAGGCTCAGGTGGAGAGCAGTGGAGACTGCATCCTCAGCACTGCGCTTGGACTGGTATGCAAACTGGAAAGGGTCGTCGTGTGATGGGGGGAGCGTGGAGATGATGTGGTCCTTAACAAGTCTTTCGAAGCACTTTATGATGGTGGATGTCAGTGCGACGGGGCGGAAGTCGTTAAGGCATGTGATGGTGGTTGACTTCGGGACCGGAACGACAGTGGCAGACTTGAAGCACCGTGGGACGACAGCCTGGTCCAGAGACGTGTTGAAGATGTCGGTGAGCACGTGGGCCAGCTGGTCCGAGCATTCCTTGATTAGCAGACCTGGAATGTTGTCCGGACCTGCAGCTTTCCGCGCGTTGACCTTCCTCAGAACCTTCCGCACTGCTGATGTTTCTAGTCTGAGCGCCTGTTCATCGGGGAGTGGCGTCGCTTTCCTCGCAGGGTTATTGTTCAGCTCCTCAAATCTTCCGAAGAAGTTGTTGAGCTCGTTGAGGAAGCCAGTGTCGGTCTGGCAGGATGGGGGTTTGTAGTCTGTGATAGACTGGATGCCCTGCCACAGTTTCCTGGTGTTGTTGGAGTCCTGGAAGAGACCCTGGATTTTCCGGCTGTGGGCTCGCTTAGCGTCTCTGATGGCCCGGTTCAGGTTGACCCTCGCAGACCTGAGAGCCGCAGCATCACCAGATCTGAAAGCAGCATTGCGTTCTCTCAGCTTCGTTCCCACCTCCTTGGTCATCCAAGGTTTCTGGTTTGCCCGAGTGACTATTGTTTTTGTTGCTGTCTCTTTTTCCATGCACCAACTGATATAGTCGGATACAGATGCAGCGTACTCCTCCAAGTTGGTGCGCTGGTTGTCTGTTGCTGCCTCCTTGAAGATGCCCCATTCAGTGCACTCAAAACAGTCCTGCAGTGCAGACATGGCGCCCTCAGGCCATACTCTCACCTTCTTCACTGCAGGTCTCTCTCTGATGGTATGCAGGAATTAGCATGACAGAGAGATGGTCTGAGGAGCCCAGGTGGGGGCGGGGTGCTGCTCTGTAGGCCTTCTTTATGTTGGTGTAGACAAGGTCCAGAGTGTTCTCCCCTCTAGTAGCAAAGTCCACATGTTGGTGAAAGTTTGGAAGCACGGTCTTCATGTTGGCCTGGTTGAAGTCGCCAGCAACAATAAAAACACCTTCGGTTGTGTGGCTTGCATGTCCGTGATGTTGTTGTAGAGAACACTGAGGCTTGCTTCGTGTTGGCGCTGGGTGGGATGTAAACAGCAACAATGGTGACGCTGGTGAATTCACGTGGCAGATAAAAGGGTCGACATCTCACAGTCAGGTTCAATGTCTATAGAGCAGTGACTGGAGACCCTGGAAGCGTTGTTACACCAGCTGTTCTTCGTGTAGATGCAAACGCCCCCCCTCGGGTTTTACCTGTGAGAGCACCGCTTCTGTCGGCTCTGAATGCTGTTAGCCCGTCCAGGCTAACTGCGCTATCTGGGACCGATGCACTGAGCCATGTTTTAGTGAGGACAATGGCACAGCAGTTTCTTGTATCCAGCTTTGAGTGTAGCTCCAGCTTGAGATAGTCCATTTTGTTTTCCAGGGAGCGTACGTTGGTGAGCAGCAGTGAAGGAAGCGGCGATCTGTACGGGTTAGCTTTTAGCTTAGCTGTTAGTCCTCCGCGACAGCCACGCTTCTGCTTCCTATCGCGCCGTCTACGACGTTTCCATGGGCGTCCTGTGGTTGTTGGAGGGACCCCTGTTTCGCTTGCCGCTCGGAGAAGCAGTCCGAGGCTAACGACTACGGTCCGCGTTTCCGTGCAGATGGAGTCTAGAAGCCCTGATTTCCTGAGTCTAACGATATTGTTACGAGTGTACACTGCTCGTACACTACGACGCTGCGTTGTCAGTAAGGTAACTTCTTCCTGTTAACGGTCCTGCAATGCATTGTGGGAAACAGTCGAGAAACCAACAAACTGTTTAATGAACTTAAAGCAACTTTCAAATTTCTCTGAGATTCATTTAAACCAATAAAAACCAGAAACAAACCAGTTATTAGATTTTCATATCAGGAAGTAAAAATCTATTTTTACTTCCTGGTTCATTTTTACTGGCATTCAGACAGAAACTCATAACCACTAAGTTATTAATATTAATCTGGTTGACAGTCAGTTTCTATTTGTCTAATTAATTAAACCACAAATTAAATTCACAAGTTTTAGGAAATTAATCACAAATCTTAAAATATCCAGAAATCAAATGATTTATTTTAAATAATCAATTTAAATATATTTTATTAGAAGATTTACAAACTAACTTATGAAATCATTTCAATAAATCAGAAATGAACTCCAGTTTGAACCGAACAGATTAACCTGCAGACGTTTCTGTTTGGATTCTCACAAAGTTCTGGTCCAGTCTGACAGAACCAGAACCACAGAACCAGAACCACAGACCCACAAAGGAACGGATCAGACCGGATCTCCTGATCCTGATCCGGTTCAGTTCTGATCCGGTTTGGTTCTGATCTGGTTTGGTTCTGATCCGGTTCTTTCTGATCCGGTTCGGTTCTGATCCGGTTTGGTTCTGATCTGGTTTGGTTCTGATCCAGTTCTTTCTGATCCGGTTTGGTTCTGATCTGGTTTGGTTCTGATCCAGTTCTTTCTGATCCGGTTTGGTTCTGATCTGGTTTGGTTCTGATCCGGTTCTTTCTGATCCGGTTTGGTTCTGATCCGGTTTGGTTCTGATCCGGTTTGGTTCTGATCCGGTTCGGTTCTGATCCGGTTCGGTTCTGATCCGGTTCGGTTCTGATCTGGTTTGGTTCTGATCCGGTTCTTTCTGATCCGGTTTGGTTCTGATCCGATTTGGTTCTGATCCGGTTGTCAGTCGTTTCGTCTCGATGTTCTTCTTCGTTTCCATGGAGAATCTGCAGTTTTTACCTTTTCAGGTTTTTTTCTTTCTGAACCAAAACACAGAACCTGAGTTTTCCTTCCAGCCAACTTTCCTCTGATCAGTTTCTGTGTTAATCTACAGACTGCAGAGATTAAATCATAAACAGCTGCAGCTTCATGAACCTCAGATTCTGGTTCTGATCCTGAAGTTCCTCCAGGAGGTTCTGGTTCTGAGACCCGACAGGAAGCTGAGCTTCATAATCCAGGATGATCAACGACCAGCTAATCTCACATAATCTGATGTTCTAAACTGAATTTATGTTCAAATTCAAGTTTTGCTCAAACTAAAGTTACATTAAAAAACTGAAATGTTTTTATTTGTCATTTTACAGTCAGGAGGAGCCGGGCTTCACCAGAACCTGGTTCTGGTTCTGACCCGTTTCTCTCAGCTTTCTGCCTGGAGCTTTTCTCCAGACTAACTTGTTACTTTTATGCAAAATGAAACTTTCCAGACATCCGTCAGTCGACCCGTTAATCTGCGGCTGACAGAACCGAGACAAGAAGAGACGATTCTTCAGGTCTGAACAGAACCAGCCGCCCAGACAAGCCAGAACCGATCCGGTTCCTGAGCCGGCAGAACTCTGAGTCACTGAGGCAACATGAGGCCTGAAGGCAACCAGAACCACTGCTGATCGGATCAGAACCGCTGCTGAACCGGACCAGAACCACTGCTGATCCGGACCAGAACCACTGCTGATCGGATCAGAACCGGAACAGAACCGATAATGAACCAGATCAGAACCGGATTACAGCTGGATCAGAACTGGACCAGAGCCGAGCATGATGGGAAGTTTTGTGGCTTCATGATGAATCATGGATCCAGCAGGATGTGAACTGATTCCAAACTGTTTGAACATTTTGATTTTTCTGTTTTTTTCTGCCACTTTAAGAATCTGAGAGAAATTAAAGGAAAAACCAACGAGATGAAAATCCAGGAACAAATCAGGATAAAACCAGCAGAACCAGGAAAATCGACCCGAAAACGAGGAGGAACAGAAAACACATCATGTGTTCACCATCAGAGGGACGGGAGCGACCCGGTTCTGACCCGAACACACTCAGCACAACAGGAAATATTTAATTCATAACCAGCAGAAACAGACAGAAAAATGAATCTGGACAGAAAACATCAAACCTGAATAATCCTCCAATCAAATTCTCCTGAAGAAATGAAAGAAGTTCAGGTCTCAAAGGTTCTTCACTCACCAGACGCTGCAGGATCCTCCTGCTCTTGTCGTCGCTGCAGAAGTCGGACAGGATGGTCCGGTGGACCAGAACCAGGCCGTTGAGGAAGAGCCAGGATCCGAACCAGAGCAGAGCGAAGAGCAGCGTTCCCCGACGGGACCAGAGCCGCAGAGCCAGCCAGCGCAGCAGGCAGCGTCCGCCGCCTGAACCGCCGCCTGAACCGCCGCCTGAACCGCCGCCGCCTGAACCACCGTCTGAACCGCCGCCTGAACCGCCGCCTGAACCGCTGCCTGAACCGCCGCCTGAACCACCGCCTGAACCGCCGCCTGAACCGCCGCCTGAACCGCCCGGCGCTCCAGGAACCATGGCAACCACAGGAAACAAACCAAACACTCGTCCGACTTCAGAGGAAATTCTGATCCCTTATTGAACCAGATGAGCTCAGATTAATAAACTCAGATTAAGTTTTCTGAGCTTTGATATTAACAACGTTGTCGTCTGCATATCGTCAGATTTTAATTCTCCATTTTTCATCTCCAGATGATTTTCATCATGAAAATCCTCCATATCCAGGATTTTCCTGTTTGTCTTTCTTAACTTCTGCTGTTAATTTCAATCAAATATTTCAGGTTTATTGTAAAATTTGCTTTGAAACCCAAGAAAACAAAGTTCAGCCTGTTTGGTAGAAACTGTCCATCGTCCGGCTGGAAGCTGAACTTTTTCCTGAATCCGTTTCATTTCCAGATTTTCCTGGTTTGGATCAGGAAGTTGTTTCCTGAAACCTGCAGCTCTCCAACATGATCCTGATCCGTCGGTTTCCTGGATCCTCAGTTTGGCTTCGTTACAGTAGAAAAAACAAAACGACACTGAAGACAAAAAGTTTTCCTGGTGGAAGGAAATCCTGGATCTTCACTTCCTGGAGACGATCTGAAGGACAGAAAGAGAGACGAGTCGTTTCCCTCTGAATGAACAAACAAACAGCAACAAGTTCATTTCTGACACTTTTATTCTTCTGGATTATTTTTCAGTTTAAAATGAACTTTTAAAGTTTGCAGCAGGTTTAGGACATGAAAATGTTTTCAGTCAAATTTTTTCCCTCCGGTTCATAATTTTCTCCAAAGTGAATAAAATTTCTGATGTTGCTGCAAAATCCAAACCTTAAATGGATCAGAACCAGCAAGAACCAACAGGAACCAGTAGGAACCAGCAGGAACCAACAAAAGCCAATAGGAGCCAGCAGGAACCAGTAGGAGCCAGTAGGAACCAGTAGGAATCAGTAGGAACCAGCAGGAATCAGTAGGAACCAGCAGGAATCAGTAGGAACCAGCAGGAACCAGTAGGAATCAGTAGGAACCAGCAGGAATCAGTAGGAACCAGCAGGAATCAGTAGGAACCAGCAGGAACCCACAAAAGCCAATAGGAGCCAGCAGGAACCAGTAGGAGCAGGTAGGAACCAACAAAAGCCAATAGGAGCCAGCAGGAACCAGTAGGAGCCAGTAGGAACCAGTAGGAATCAGTAGGAACCAGCAGGAATCAGTAGGAACCAGCAGGAATCAGTAGGAACCAGCAGGAACCAGTAGGAATCAGTAGGAACCAGCAGGAATCAGTAGGAACCAGCAGGAACCCACAAAAGCCAATAGGAGCCAGCAGGAACCAGTAGGAGCAGGTAGGAACCAACAAAAGCCAATAGGAGCCAGCAGGAACCAGTAGGAGCCAGTAGGAACCAGTAGGAACCAGCAAGAACCAGCAGGAACCAGTACGAATCAGTAGGAACCAGCAGGAATCAGTAGGAACCAGCAGGAGCCAGTAGGAACCAGCAGGAACCAGCAGGAACCAGTAGGAACCAGCAGGAACCAGTAGGAGCCAGTAGGAACCAGTAGAAACCAGCAGGAACCAGCAGGAACCAGTAGGAACCAGTAGAAACCAGCAGGAACCAGTAGGAACCTCCAGTTTCCTTCCAGACGATCCGATTCGACTCCGGACAGGAAAATGAAACCAGCAGAACTTCGTCTGGATCCAAACTGGTTCTGTTGAGTCGGGATGGAAACCAGATAAAATAACCCAGAAATATTTTATTGTTTGCTTTTTATTTTTTTACATCAGTAATAAAATTATTTCTTTTCCTTCCAGTTTAATTTCTGAGAAACTTAGAAAAAGTTTTTACTTTAATTTTAAAATAATTTATTTTTATTTGAAGATAAAAGATTCAAAGTTTTTTATTGTCACAAGAACAACATTTAAAAGTGACATCAGTTTAACAAACTATCACAATTTAAACATAAATAACTAATAACTGATAATAAATAACTAATAATCATCATTCATGAAGATTGATGGTCATTTTTTTATTGATGGTTATTTTTGTTATTTCTTGGTTGGATTCATTAAAACAAATTAATTTTAATAATTTCAGGGAGAAAAAAAACATTTTATGAATTTATTGGATGGAAATGAAATATGAGAAACTTTTCACAAAATGAAAATATTAATATTCAGTTAATGAAGGAAATTAAAATCATATTATTGATATTAAAAATAAAACCTGGATGTTTCTGTTCAGTTTGAATCTAAATTTATTTTCATGTTTTGATATTTAAATATATTTTTACTGATTGTCTGAATTTTTCAGACATTAATATTTTAAATTTATGCCGATTTTAATCTGACAGCAGAAATAAATAATATAAAAACATTAAAGATAAATAAAAATGTTTAATTTAGTTTTTCTCTCTTATATTTTATATTAATTATTATAAAAACTGATCAAAGTTGATCAGTGACGGAAAACATTGATTTATTTTATGACTTTATTTTGAAGTTGTTCTGACTCAGTTCTGATGGAAGGTTCTTCAGAACCGGTGCCGGTCCAGAAGAACCTTGTGATCCTTTTATTGTGAAGGGTCATAAAACCTGAACGTTTTAATCTCTAATCCAGCAGCTGCTCACCTTCAGAACCGGGCCGGTCCAGTTCCCAGGAGCCTCAGCAGAACTTTTCCTTGTTGCTCCTCAGTGATCCAATCAGGAACCAGAACTTTTCTGTTGGATCCAGAAGGAAATCCAGAATAAAATCTGAAATAATCTCGTTCCTCAGAGAAGATCCGGATCCGGGATCACGAAGAAAGTCTGGGATTCGCTGACAGCATCCCGGAGGTTCGGTTCGGTTCGGTTCGTCTCTGCGGACGGAATCAGGATTTACGAACCAAACTTCCTTCCTGAACGATTCCTCTCCGACCCGGAGGAACCCGACCCGGCTGTCCGAACCGCCGGACAGACTGAGATGGACCCGACAGAACCGGATCAGAACCAGCAGGACGGAGCGAAGAGAAATAAACCCAGAATGTGGACTGGCAGGCGGAACCAGCAGCTGCTGATCCTCCTCCTGTGACGCTGTGTGTGTGTGTGTGTCTGTGTGTCTGTATGTGTGTGTGTGTGTCTGTGTGTGTGTGTGTGTCTGTGTGTGTGTGTGTGAAGGTGTGTGTGTGTGTCTGTGTGTGTGTGTCTGTGTGTGTTTGTGTGTGTGTGTGTGTCTGCGTGTGTGTCTGTGTGTGTGTGTGTGTGTGTGTCTGTATGTGTGTGTGTGTGTGTGTGTGTGTGTGTGTCTGTATGTGTGTGTGTCTGTATGTGTGTGTGTGTCTGTGTGTGTGTGTGTGTGTGTGTGTCTGTATGTGTGTGTGTGTGTGTGTGTGTGTGTGTGTGTCTGTATGTGTGTGTGTGTGTGTGTGTGTGTGTGTGTGTGTGTGTGTGTGTGTCTGTATGTGTGTGTGTGTGTGTGTGTGTGTGTGTGTGTGTGGTGTGTGTGTGTCTGTATGTGTGTGTGTGTGTCTGTATGTGTGTGTGTGTGTGTGTGTGTGTGTCTGTGTCTGTGTGTGTGTGTGTCTGTGTCTGTGTGTGTGTGTGTGTGTGTTTTCTTCCATGAAAATGCAAACCAGAGCAGTAGATCCAGATAGGAGTGACGGTGGAGTGGAGTCGACATCCAGCTGTTCCAGTTTAACAGGTGAATTATCTCAGGGAAAGATGCTTTAGCCCACAATGTTTTTCCACCTTTAAGTTGTTTTGCATTATTGTTTCCACTAAATCAATATAATGTGAATTATAACTGCTCAGATGAGAGAAGGGAGGTGTGACAACAAGTCTATTAAAATGATATATTTTTATATGATTTTAGATGATTTTAGAAGAAGCTACCACAATATCAGTTAATGTTTTATTTAAGAGTATTAAGTCAGGTTTTTCTTAAAGAAAAGGCTCAGCACATCTGTCCTTTGGTGATTTTATTTCAAATGCCAGTTGTTTCTAAATATCCATGAAATAGAGATTTGTGTTGTCATCTCTAACAGGAAGGGCGAGTGTTGGTAGAATCCACCTCAACTGCTTTCCTTTTTGCATTTGACCATTGTTGACTTGTTCTGGCTTTGCTAATTTTATTTAATAACGTTTAATATAGTTGTTCCAATCTTGAGTATTAAATTGAAAAGTTAGAAATTTTAAAGAATTGTTGAAATTATTGAATACTGCAGGTTGGATATTTATTTATAATTCCAAATGCAACATTTGCAACCTACTGATAAGACCGAGAAATATTTTGAGAAGACCAAATGTAGATGATGACTAAATCAGGCCCGTTAAGAATTCTGATTTTCAATACATTGTGACATTTTTTTAATACTCTGCTGGTTCACTTCTACTTTTTCAACTGACCATAAAGGCTGGTGTCCTGTAAAGATGTTTCCTGTTCTACCACACTGGATCCAAATTAATGGATCATTAACAAATGTTTGCTAACAAGCTATTGGAGAATGATTTGATTTGAATGAGGTGTGCTGTAGCAACCCTTAAGCCCCAGTAGTTGCTGATCATTGACTTAATGTTTCACCTGGAGGCATCATTCTCAATGTGGGAAGGTTCCAGTTATATCTGGGGCCTTTTGCTGCGTCTCCAATCTGTTTAATTTCACAGATGTGAACATTTACAAATGCTTGTTTTCTGTATTTTATAGGATCAAACGCGTCCAGCTCGTCGCCTGCAGAAACTTAAAGCCCATCAAATAGATGTGAGGCTCGTTACAAGAAGGCAAGAAATGAAGTGAGGAGAAAATGTCTTCTCTTGGATGAAATCAGCATCGATCCACAAGGTAAATTATGGTTTATTAGTGAAGATTTAATTTGACCCCCTGCCATGGCACGTTTTATTTCTTTTGATGTTGATTTTGTAAATTAAAAAAAAGATGACATCTACAACAGTTTGAGTGTCAGACATTGAGAACTGTAGGAAGAAGTAGACCAGCAGGCATTTTTCATATTGCATATTCTAATTCTTGTACTTTTTTTGTTTGCTTGTTTTTAATCTCTGGGAAATTCAATCATAATTTCACATTGTAAATTGATCACTTGAATGGTAGTAGAACAAGGAAAGCGCTAAGACTGTGCTGGCAGCATATGCAATGCTTCATAATGTAACATGATGGATATTGTTACTTCATTTTCCAGAGAAAATGTCTGTGGACAGTGGATCAGACACTGAAGAAGAGGTTGACTCAGCTGAGAGGGACGCTGAAACCTGAACAGAGAGAAACTTGTGCTGCAGCTCCTCCTGGTGGCTGGTTGTTGAACTGCAGCAGATATTAAAACAAAAACTTTTATTTAAATTGAATTTGCTGAATAAATGATATTGATCTATAATGTCAGATCAGTTTCTGGTTGATCAGAAAGTTCTTTGATTTATATTTTAACGTTTCTTTTCTTCATCCAATCAGACGATGTTTATCTTCACTTCATATAAACATTAAACTTTAACGCTGCAAAGATCTTTGGACGCCTTGTTGCTGAAACACAAATCAAATTTATTGATTGATTTTGTTTCTGAATCAAAGTTCAGAGGAAACAAATCAGAGCAGAAACTCAAAGTTTCTCTAAATGAGTTTTTACTGATTTTCTTTCCTGAATCAGTTTATAAAACATCCAGAGATTTTGTCTCTCCTCCTCTGGGTGAAAATGGCAGTGGCAGCATCATGCTGTGGGACAGGACGGAGATGAACCTGGAGGAAAACCTGCTGAAGAGCTTTGGCTCTTCTGGTCAAAGGTCATCTTCCAGCGGCGGCGGGACGCTGATGGTCAGCAGGTCAACAAACATCATCCAGACCTCAGACAGTCTACAGACTGAAACCAGAACAGAATCAATCTGAGCAGATTAGACAGGATGAGATGAAGGGATTATTTCCTCTAAAGTCTCTTTGTTCAGTTCTGAGTTACTGGAGGAATCAAACACTAGCACCAGTCAAAGGTCAAAGGTCAAACCCTTCCAGAATAAAAGCAGGTAAAGTCTGAACCTCCATCAGTTTTTCTATCAGATGTTTGACAGGAAGAAGCTTCACAGCTGATCATTAAACATCATTTCATAAAACATTATGAATATTTTAATTATTCCCCATTTTGTAAAGATTTAAAGGGACCAACTCGGTTCAACCCGACCAGAGTCCAAGGTTCTGTTTGGTTCCTCCAGAGTTCTGGTAGAAACTTTCAACCCAAACAGCTGGTCGGAACCAGCAGGTCCGGTCCAAACTGCGCATGCCCGCCCGGACCCCCCCCCCCCCCACTTCCCCCCCCCCCCTCCTCAGAGTCTCCGGCAGCAGAGCGGCCATGACGTCACTCGGTCTCCTGGAAACAGCTGCTGCTGAACCTTTAACAGCAGCGGCGGCCTCTGATTGGCCAGCAGCAGCTGGAAGCCCGCCCAGGCTTCCTGACCAATGAGAGCGCAGATAAATTTTATCCTTATAAACTTTATTTAAGACAATAAACAACCATACAGTCAGAATGTGGATATAACATAAAAGACATGAATAACAATTTATCAGGGGAGCATAAAGAAAAGCATGAAGACAAGAAAATAGAACAAATTGTGATATATGTGCCAGATTAATATTAATATAAAAGATCATCCAACAAATTGATTCAAGCCATATTGTTGATTTTGTTCTTTGGTTGGTTGAGGATTAAATTGTTAATAAATAATATTTAAGTTCAATCAAAAAAACAGAAAAGTTTGTTTTTTTCTTTAAACATTTGCATTTATGAAGGTGAAATTTAGCCTTAATAATTATTAAATTGATAAGGAAACTTTTCACATTCATTCCTCCATTTGATTGAAATATGAATAAAATATTTATAACTAAAATCCTGCTGATATTATGGAATCAATAAAGTTACAAAAATCTTGCCAAAATACTTTAGAGCGACTGAGAAACGTCACATTAATTCACATCAACATTAGAGTTAAATTTCTTTAGATAAAGTTTAATGAGGAAGATTCTGGAAACGACTTTAAAACAAACGTCTTTTACCTTGTTAGTGAGAAGAAAGTGATTAATTTCCAGGACAAAGTGAAACGAAACGATTCCAATGATGTTCAACCACAGGAACAGAGGTCACGACCTCCAGAAACAGAGGTCACGACCTCCAGAAACAGAGGTCACGACCTCCAGAAACAGAGGTCACGACCTCCAGAAACAGAGGTCACGACCTCCAGAAACAGAGGTCACGACCTCCAGAAACAGAGGTCACAATCTCCAGAAACAGAGGTCACGACCTCCAGAAACAGAGGTCACAACCTCCAGAAACAGAGGTCACGACCTCCAGAAACAGAGGTCACGACCTCCAGAAACAGAGGTCACGACCTCCAGAAACAGAGGTCACGACCTCCAGAAACAGAGGTCACGACCTCCAGAAACAGAAGTCACGACCTCCAGAAACAGAGGTCACAACCTCCAGAAACAGAGGTCATGACCTCCAGAAACAGAGGTCACGACCTCCAGAAACAGGGATCTGATCCACTTAGGAAACAATAAGACATATTCTGCCAACAGAACGTCTGGCAGATCGAACTGGAGATCGACTCTCGGCTTCTGTCTGAATCACGTCTCTGTAGATCCAAGAACTTTGGCGTGTTCTCCAGGAGAGACAGGAAAACTGAATTTATAAAGAAATTAACTCAACAATAAACCATCACTGTGAAACAACTGGTCAACCAGAACAATGTTACGATTAAACCAGGAATCAAAAACAGTTTTCTTCTTAAATAAAATGTCCTTATTATCAAAATACTGGAGAGGAGAAAAATTATGTTTGTAGATGAATAACCAGGATAAAACAGCCTGCATGAAAGTTAGAGAGAGTTTAATTGGTAGCTTCGTTATATCAAAATTACAAGTTAAAAAGAAATTTAGAGAAATATGGAAAGGTATAATATTCCAGAAAGATGTTGGAGAATTAAAAAAATTACGGATCCAATTTATTTTAAAATATTATTCAAGATAAAGTTAAAGAGTTAAGTTCTCCATTTTCATATGAATAGAGTAAATTTTTTAATATAGTGATTCTTATTTTTCCATATAAAGTTGAAAAGCAGTTTATTAATTTCCTTCTCACTTTTCTTGTCAATGTGTAACGATTGTTCAGCATTAATGAGTCTGGAGGCCTGCAGCCTTTCTAACTAACCACTGACTGAGTCTTTAAGGTTATTTCACATCATTAAGGTTGAAGTTTAGGGAACTTCTCTCTATTTGATCCTTCTTGATGCTTTTACCTTAATAAACAACCTGATTATTAACTTCAGTTGAGGCGATGGATCCTTAATGCCCAATATCAGAGAAAGATGGGCATTAATTTGATGGATCTGTTGCTGTTTTATTATAAGGTTTTAACAATAGAAGTAAAGAAATTCCCAAACCCAAATTTATTTATACTGAAAGATAAACTCATGTTCGACCAAATCAAATGCTTTATAGAAATCTAGAAATAAAACCATTATCACAAACAAGATCAGGATAATCTAATCTTTTAGTAACAACTAAAGTAAAAATGTTGGATCGTTGTAAAGAAAAGAAATGAGACGCCAATTATCCAGAAGGATGTTTTTTTGTTTTTCTACATTAATAAAGTGTTTTGTTCTCCTTCTTCTAACCATTTTCTCCATGATCTAATAAAAGCTCCTTTACTCTTATTACTGTAAAAATGATCCAATTTAATTTGTAATTAAATTCATTCTTGTAGCTCAAAGTCATTTAAATTCAAAGGATTCGACTGAATGAATTCAAATATTCTTGTAACAATTTCTTAGAAATTTGCCAGATTTGAATTTAAAAAGTTTCCAATTAATGCCATAAAGATGATCTGTTTGGACTTTATGCCAGAAGAATTTTAATAATTTTTTTTATCTTTATAGTAAGCTCTTTGCAGTTTAATAAAGAATTATTCAATTTCCAATATGAAGGAGAATAACTAGAATAGTGTTAAAATGATTTCATAACTTTAATAAGGGAATCAGGTCAAATATTCTTTCTCTACTGAATCTGAGATCAGGCAGAAATCTGTCCTGGATTGTCCAGATTAGGATTTATTACTGCAGGTCAATAAATAATCATGTGGATGTTCAGCGAGATCCCAGCAGAAAATCATCACCAGTGACATCAGCACAGGTTGGAAAGATTGAGATTAATGACGTTTGATTAAAATTGAGATGAAAATAAAATGAATTCAGTAAACGTCCAACATTAAAGCAGAATCTGGTGAAGTGATTTTAATAAGATTAATTGATCCAGTTCAGCCACAAACTTCAGTTTACTGAGTTCAGACAAAACAGCAGAAAGTCCATCAGAATCAGGAATAATTTCCATCAAAGAGAAAAAACTTTGATGTTTATGAAACAGGATGGATGGAGAACATCAGCTCTCAGTCAGGGTTCGCTCCGGGCTTTGACTAGGACACTCCACCATGTAACCTGGTCGTCTGCAGGTGAGGATTAACTCAGATTATTATTCCATAACCGTGTTGACTTGTTGCAACTTCCTGGACGGATCAGGAAGTCCAGCCGACGTCTCAACCAATAAGAGTCAGGAGTCCATGCTGGTTGCCATGGAAACGACCCCCCACAGAGACGATTCTGTCCATTATAAAGCTCATTACCACTTCCACCTGCAGAGAGAAGCAAGACGCACAGATCAGATCAGTGAGTTTCCAGCTTCTCTCCAGCAGCAGTCAGTGACGCAGCACATCCAGTAGAAACAGCAGCAGGGCCTTCAGTCCTGATCAGAGCTTTACTGGGAACACTGGAAGCTAACTGGTTTAGTTCAAGATGCTGACAGCAGCTGGAATCAATAAAAACATTTACTTACTGAACATCCTTTACAAAACGCTTCAACTGCTGAACGTCTGAATCTTCAGCTTGTTCCTGCTCAGGTCCAGATGAGTCAGATGGGAGGGGTTAAAGGTCAGAGCTGAGGCCAGAGAAGAACAGCTGATCTCTGACAACCTGCAGTCGATCAACCTGAATAAAGAATAAAAGATGTGAGCTGAACCAGCAGGATGCAGGTGAACCAGTCCAACAACAGAACCACATGAATGAATATTAATGCCAACATGAAGCTGCTGCTGCTTCAACCAAGACCTTCTGACTTCATCTCTGAAGCTGCAGCAGCTCCTGCAGCAGCTGCAGCAACAAACTGCTGCAGCAAATCATCCAAGTTTCACACAAAACCAGAAACCAGGAGGAAAAACAGCTGATGGAGATCAATGCTCAGAAATTCAACCGTTTCATTTTTCATCAGCCATGAAGATTCACTGTCACAGTGGACTTTAGGACCAGAACCAGAACCAGAAACCAGAACCTGGTACTGGGTCATGATGAGTGGGAGGGTTTTACTGCAGAAGCATCATCACTTGATTATAGATCTGCTGCTGTCAGATTCTACAAGCTGAAGTTCCAGATTAAAACCATGAATGTTCATTATTCATTTCTTCTCTCCGTCAATCTGCAGATGCAGCCTGGGCTCTTATTTTGACAGTTTACTGCTTCCTGTTTCCTCCTGCAGCATTTCCTCTGACCATCAGGACGATCTCTGGTCAGTTTCTCTGGTCAGAAGCTCTCAGCTCTCTGTGGCTCCACCTGGTGACCTCCAGCTGACCTTCAGCTGACCTCCAGATGACCTCCAGTTGACCTCCAGTTGACCTCCAGATGACATCCTGCTGACCTCCAGCTGACCTCTTGCTGACCTCCAGTTGACCTCCAGCTGACCTCCAACTGACCTTCGCTGACCTCCAGATGACCTCCAGCTGACCTCCAGATGACCTTCAGCTGACCTCCAGATGACCTTCAGCTGACCTCTAGATGACTCCAGCTGACCTCCAGCAGACCTCCAGCTGACCTCCTGCTGACCTCCTGCTGACCTCCAGCTGACCTCCAGCCCTCTGGGAACCGAACTGATGATCTTCTCCTCCTCTGCTACTCTGACCTCCAGATGACCTCCAGCTGACCTCCAGATGACCTCCAGCTGACCTTCAGATGACCTTCAGCTGACATCCACAGACCTCCTGCTGACCTCCAGCTGACCTCCAGATGACCTCCTGCTGACCTCTAGATGACCTCCAGATGACCTTCAGCTGACCTCCTGCCCTCTGGGAACAGAACTAATGATCTTCTCCTCCTCTGCTTCACTCCAACATCCTGACAGAGTTTCCACTGGACGGCAGTTTTCCTCCTTCACTCTGGTTTCATCCCTCCATCCTCACCTCTGACCTCTGAGGCAGGAAGTGAGCTCACTGAGCTGCTGACAGGAAGCTCAGAGTCTGCATGATGTCTGCAGATATTTAGATTTATCCAGGAGAAAAACAGAAAGGCTGAGAAATCTCAGCATTAATCTGGTTTTATTCCCACAGCTCTGATTCTTACAGTTGTTGGTAGTTTACTGGTAGTTTACTGGTAGTTTACTGGTAGCTTACTGGTAGCTTACTGGTAGTTTACTGGTAGTTTACTGGTAGCTTACTTTTAGCTTACTGGTAGCTTACTGGTAGTTTACTGGTAGCTTACTGGTAGCTTACTGGTAGTTTACTGGTAGCTTACTGGTAGTTTACTGGTAGCTTACTGGTAGCTTACTGGTAGTTTTACTGGTAGCTTACTGGTAGTTTACTGGTAGTTTACTAGCAGTTTACTGGTAGTTTACTGGTAGTTTACTGGTAGTTTACTGGTAGTTTACTAGCAGTTTACTGGTAGTTTACTAGTAGTTACTGATAGTTAACTGGTAGTTTACTGGTAGTTTACTGGTTCTGCTCTGTATTTTGGTCATAATGGGACTGCAGGAAACCCAAAACTAAATCATGTTTGTTCTTTATTATTATTAATAAACTGGATTCTTACTATGAAATGTCTGCAGGTTGGTGGCAACAAAACATCATCAATAAACTAAAACATGGGACTTACTGTAATCGCTGTAGTTTACATTCTGGGTTCTGGAGGAAACACAGAGCTGCTTCACTCCAGGATCTTTCAGGTTGTTCCAGCTCAGGTCCAGTTCATTCAGATGGGAGGGGTTAAAGGTCAGAGCTGAGGCCAGAGAAGAACAGCTGATCTCTGACAAACTGCATCTCTCCAACCTGGATAAAGAATAAAAGATGTGAGCTGAACCAGCAGGATGCAGGTGAACCAGTCCAACAGAACCAGATGAATGAATATTGATGCCAACATGAAGCTGCTGCTGCTTCAACCAAGACCTTCTGACTTCATCTCTGAAGCTGCAGCAGCTCCTGCAGCAGCTGCACCAGCAGCTCCACCAGCAGCTGCAGCAACAAACTGCTGCAGCAAATCATCCAAGTTTCACACAAAACCAGAAACCAGGAGGAAAAACCAGCTGATGGAGATCAATGCTCAGAAATTCAACCGTTTCATTTTTCATCAGCCATGAAGATTCACTGTCACAGTGACTTTAGGACCAGAACCAGAACCAGAACCAGAACCTGGTACTGGGTCATGATGAGTGGGAGGGTTTTACTGCAGAAGCATCAATCACTGATTATAGATCTGCTGCTGTCAGATTCTACAAGCTGAAGTTCCAGATTAAAACCATGAATGTTCATTATTCATTTCTTCTCTCCGTCAATCTGCAGATGCAGCCTGGGCTCTTATTTTGACACTTTACTGCTTCCTGTTTCCTCCTGCAGCATTTCCTCTGAACCATCAGGACTGATCTCTGGTCAGTTTCTCTGGTCAGAAGCTCTCAGCTCTCTGTGGCTCCAACTGGTGACCTCCAGCTGACCTTCAGCTGACCTCCAGATGACCTCCAGTTGACCTCCAGTTGACCTCCAGATGACATCCTGCTGACCTCCAGCTGACCTCTTGCTGACCTCCAGTTGACCTCCAGCTGACCTCCAACTGACCTTCAGATGACCTTCAGATGACCTCCAGCTGACCTCCAGAAGACCTTCAGCTGACCTCCAGATGACCTTCAGCTGACCTCTAGATGACCTCCAGCTGACCTCCAGATGACCTCCAGCAGACCTCCTGCTGACCTCCAGCTGACCTCCAGCTGACCTCCTGCTGACCTCCTGCTGACCTCCAGCTGACCTCCAGCCCTCTGGGAACCGAACTGATGATCTTCTCCTCCTCTGCTACTCTGACCTCCAGATGACCTCCAGCTGACCTCCAGATGACCTCCAGCTGACCTTCAGATGACCTTCAGCTGACATCCACAGACCTCCAGCTGACCTTCAGCTGACATCCACAGACCTCCTGCTGACCTCCAGCTGACCTCCAGATGACCTCCTGCTGACCTCTAGATGACCTCCAGATGACCTTCAGCTGACCTCCTGCCCTCTGGGAACAGAACTAATGATCTTCTCCTCCTCTGCTTCACTCCAACATCCTGACAGAGTTTCCACTGGACGGCAGTTTCTCCTCCTTCACTCTGGTTTCATCCCTCCATCCTCACCTCTGACCTCTGAGGCAGGAAGTGAGCTCACTGAGCTGCTGACAGGAAGCTCAGAGTCTGCATGATGTCTGCAGATATTTAGATTTTATCCAGGAGAAAAACAGAAAGGCTGAGAAATCTCAGCATTAATCTGGATTTATTCCCACAGCTCTGATTATTACAGTTGTTGGTAGTTTACTGGTAGTTTACTGGTAGTTTACTAGCAGTTTACTGGTAGCTTACTGGTAGCTTACTGGTAGCTTACTGGTAGTTTACTGATAGTTAACTGGTAGTTTACTGGTAGTTTACTGGTAGCTTACTGGTAGTTTACTAGCAGTTTACTGGTAGCTTACTGGTAGTTTACTGGTAGTTTACTGGTAGTTTACTGGTAGTTTACTGGTAGTTTACTAGTAGTTTACTGGTAGCTTACTGGTAGTTTACTGGTAGTTTACTGGTAGTTTACTGATAGTTAACTGGTAGTTTACTGGTAGTTTACTAGTAGTTTACTGATAGCTTACTGGTAGTTTACTGGTAGTTTTACTAGCAGTTTACTGGTAGCTTACTGGTAGTTTACTGGTAGTTTACTGGTAGTTTACTGGTAGTTTACTAGTAGTTTACTGGTAGTTTACTGGTAGCTTACTGGTAGCTTACTGGTAGTTTACTGATAGTTAACTGGTAGTTTACTGGTAGTTTACTAGCAGTTTACTGGTAGTTTACTGGTAGTTTACTGGTAGCTTACTGGTAGTTTACTAGCAGTTTACTGGTAGCTTACTGGTAGTTTACTGGTAGCTTACTGGTAGCTTACTGGTAGCTTACTGGTAGTTTACTGATAGTTAACTGGTAGTTTACTGGTAGTTTACTGGTAGCTTACTGGTAGTTTACTGGTAGTTTACTGGTAGTTTACTGATAGTTAACTGGTAGTTTACTGATAGTTTACTAGCAGTTTACTGGTAGCTTACTGGTAGTTTACAAGTAGTTTACTGGTAGTTTACTGGTAGTTTACTGATAGTTAACTGGTAGTTTACTGGTAGTTAACTGATAGTTTACTGGTAGTTTACTGGTAGTTTACTGGTAGTTTACTGGTAGCTTACTGGTAGTTTACTGGTAGTTTACTGGTAGTTTACTAGTAGTTTACTGGTAGTTTACTGGTAGTTTACTGATAGTTAACTGGTAGTTTACTGGTAGTTTACTGGTTCTGCTCTGTATTTTGGTCATAATGGGACTGCAGGAAACCCAAAACTAAATCATGTTTGTTCTTTATTATTATTAATAAACTGGATTCTTACTATGAAATGTCTGCAGGTTGGTGGCAACAAAACATCATCAATAAACTAAAACATGGAGACTTACTGTAATCGCTGTAGTTTACATTCTGGGTTCTGGAGCAAAACACAGAGCTGCTTCACTCCAGGATCTTTCAGGTCGTTGTAACTCAGGTCCAGTTCATTCAGATGGGAGGGGTTAAAGGTCAGAGCTGAGGCCAGAGAAGAACAGCTGATCTCTGACAACCTGCATTTCTTCAACCTGGATAAAGAATAAAAGATGTGAGCTGAACCAACAGGATGCAGGTGAACCAGTCCAACAGAACCACATGAATGAATATTAATGCCAACATGAAGCTGCTGCTGCTTCAACCAAGACCTTCTGACTTCATCTCTGAAGCTGCAGCAGCTCCTGCAGCAGCTGCACCAGCAGCTCCACCAGCAGCTGCAGCAACAAACTGCTGCAGCAAATCATCCAAGTTTCACACAAAACCAGAAACCAGGAGGAAAAACCAGCTGATGGAGATCAATGCTCAGAAATTCAACCGTTTCATTTTTCATCAGCCATGAAGATTCACTGTCACAGTGACTTTAGGACCAGAACCAGAACCAGAACCAGAACCAGAACCTGGTACTGGGTCATGATGAGTGGGAGGGTTTTACTGCAGAAGCATCAATCACTGATTATAGATCTGCTGCTGTCAGATTCTACAAGCTGAAGTTCCAGATTAAAACCATGAATGTTCATTATTCATTTCTTCTCTCCGTCAATCTGCAGATGCAGCCTGGGCTCTTATTTTGACACTTTACTGCTTCCTGTTTCCTCCTGCAGCATTTCCTCTGAACCATCAGGACTGATCTCTGGTCAGTTTCTCTGGTCAGAAGCTCTCAGCTCTCTGTGGCTCCACCTGGTGACCTCCAGCTGACCTTCAGCTGACCTCCAGATGACCTCCAGTTGACCTCCAGTTGACCTCCAGATGACATCCTGCTGACCTCCAGCTGACCTCTTGCTGACCTCCAGTTGACCTCCAGCTGACCTCCAACTGACCTTCAGCTGACCTCCAGATGACCTCCAGTTGACCTCCAGTTGACCTCCAACTGACCTTCAGCTGACCTCCAGCTGACCTCCAGCTGACCTCCAACTGACCTCCAGATGACCTTCAGCTGACCTCCAGATGACCTTCAGCTGACCTCTAGATGACCTCCAGCTGACCTCCTGCTGACCTCCAGATGACCTCCAGTTGACCTCCAGATGACATCCTGCTGACCTCCAGCTGACCTCTTGCTGACCTCCAGTTGACCTCCAGCTGACCTCCAGATGACCTTCAGCTGACCTCCAGATGACCTTCAGCTGACCTCTAGATGACCTCCAGCTGACCTCCAGATGACCTCCAGCAGACCTCCTGCTGACCTCCAGCTGACCTCCAGCTGACCTCCTGCTGACCTCCTGCTGACCTCCTGCTGACCTCCAGCTGACCTCCAGCCCTCTGGGAACCGAACTGATGATCTTCTCCTCCTCTGCTACTCTGACCTCCAGATGACCTCCAGCTGACCTCCAGCTGACCTCCAGATGACCTCCAGCTGACCTTCAGATGACCTTCAGCTGACATCCACAGACCTCCTGCTGACCTCCAGCTGACCTCCAGATGACCTCCTGCTGACCTCTAGATGACCTCCAGATGACCTTCAGCTGACCTCCTGCCCTCTGGGAACAGAACTAATGATCTTCTCCTCCTCTGCTTCACTCCAACATCCTGACAGAGATTCCACTGGACAGCAGTTTCTCCTCCTTCACTCTGGTTTCATCCCTCCATCCTCACCTCTGACCTCTGAGGCAGGAAGTGAGCTCACTGAGCTGCTGACAGGAAGCTCAGAGTCTGCATGATGTCTGCAGATATTTTAGATTTTATCCAGGAGAAAAACAGAAAGGCTGAGAAATCTCAGCATTAATCTGGATTTATTCCCACAGCTCTGATTATTACAGTTGTTGGTAGTTTACTGGTAGTTTACTGGTAGTTTACTGGTAGCTTACTGGTAGCTTACTGGTAGCTTACTTTTAGCTTACTGGTAGCTTACTGGTAGTTTACTGGTAGCTTACTGGTAGTTTACTGGTAGCTTACTGGTAGTTTACTGGTAGCTTACTGGTAGTTTACTGGTAGCTTACTGGTAGCTTACTGGTAGTTTACTGGTAGCTTACTGGTAGTTTACTGGTAGTTTACTAGCAGTTTACTGGTAGTTTACTGTTAGTTTACTGGTAGTTTACTAGCAGTTTACTGGTAGTTTACTGGTAGTTTACTGATAGTTAACTGGTAGTTTACTGGTAGTTTACTGGTTCTGCTCTGTATTTTGGTCATAATGGACTGCAGGAAACCCAAAACTAAATCATGTTTGTTCTTTATTATTATTAATAAACTGGATTCTTACTATGAAATGTCTGCAGGTTGGTGGCAACAAAACATCATCAATAAACTAAAACATGGAGACTTACTGTAATCGCTGTAGTTTACATTCTGGGTTCTGGAGGAAAACACAGAGCTGCTTCACTCCAGGATCTTTCAGGTTGTTCCTGCTCAGGTCCAGTTCATTCAGATGGGAGGGGTTAAAGGTCAGAGCTGAGGCCAGAGAAGAACAGCTGATCTCTGACAACCTGCAGCCCTCCAACCTGGATAAAGAATAAAAGATGTGAGCTGAACCAACAGGATGCAGGTGAACCAGTCCAACAGAACCACATGAATGAATATTAATGCCAACATGAAGCTGCTGCTGCTTCAACCAAGACCTTCTGACTTCATCTCTGAAGCTGCAGCAGCTCCTGCAGCAGCTGCACCAGCAGCTCCACCAGCAGCTGCAGCAACAAACTGCTGCAGCAAATCATCCAAGTTTCACACAAAACCAGAAACCAGGAGGAAAAACCAGCTGATGGAGATCAATGCTCAGAAATTCAACCGTTTCATTTTTCATCAGCCATGAAGATTCACTGTCACAGTGACTTTAGGACCAGAACCAGAACCAGAACCAGAACCTGGTACTGGGTCATGATGAGTGGGAGGGTTTTACTGCAGAAGCATCAATCACTGATTATAGATCTGCTGCTGTCAGATTCTACAAGCTGAAGTTCCAGATTAAAACCATGAATGTTCATTATTCATTTCTTCTCTCCGTCAATCTGCAGATGCAGCCTGGGCTCTTATTTTGACACTTTACTGCTTCCTGTTTCCTCCTGCAGCATTTCCTCTGAACCATCAGGACTGATCTCTGGTCAGTTTCTCTGGTCAGAAGCTCTCAGCTCTTGTGGCTCCACCTGGTGACCTCCAGCTGACCTTCAGCTGACCTCCAGATGACCTCCAGTTGACCTCCAGTTGACCTCCAGATGACATCCTGCTGACCTCCAGCTGACCTCTTGCTGACCTCCAGTTGACCTCCAGCTGACCTCCAACTGACCTTCAGCTGACCTCCAGATGACCTTCAGCTGACCTCCAGATGACCTTAAGCTGACCTCTAGATGACCTCCAGCTGACCCAGATGACCTCCAGCAGACCTCCTGCTGACCTCCAGCTGACCTCCTGCTGACCTCCTGCTGACCTCCAGCTGACCTCCAGCCCTCTGGAACCGAACTGATGATCTCTCCTCTGCTACTCTGACCTCCAGATGACCTCCAGCTGACCTCCAGATGACCTCCAGCTGACCTTAAGATGACCTCCAGATGACCTCCAGCTGACCTCCAGATGACCTCCAGTTGACCTCCAGATGACATCCTGCTGACCTCTTGCTGACTCCAGTTGACCTCCAGCTGACCTCTAGATGACCTCCAGATGACCTCCAACTGACCTTAAGATGACCTCCAGCTGACCTCCAACTGACCTCCAGCTGACCTTTAGCTTACCTCCTGCTGACATCCAGCTGACCTCCAGCTGACATCCTAATGACATCCAGCTGACCTCCAGTTGACCTCTAGATGACCTCAGCTGACCTCCTGCTGACCTCCACCTGACATCCATCTGACCTCCTGCTGACCTTCAGCTGACCTCCAGCTGACCTCCTGCTGACATCCAGCTGACCTCCTGCCCTCTGGGAACCGAACTGATGATCTTCTCCTCGCTCTGCTTCACTCCAACATCCTGACAGAGATTCCACTGGACAGCAGTTTCTCCTCCTTCCTCTGGTTTCATCCCTCCATCCTCACCTCTGACCTCTGAGGCAGGAAGTGAGCTCACTGAGCTGCTGACGGAAGCTCAGAGTCTGCATGATGTCTGCAGATATTTAGATTTTATCCAGGAGAAAAACAGAAAGGCTGAGAAATCTCAGCATTAATCTGGATTTATTCCCACAGCTCTGATTATTACAGTTGTTGGTAGTTTACTGGTAGTTTACTGGTAGTTTACTGGTAGCTTACTTTTAGCTTACTGGTAGCTTACTGGTAGTTTACTGGTAGCTTACTGGTAGCTTACTGGTAGTTTACTGGTAGCTTACTGGTAGTTTACTGGTAGCTTACTGGTAGTTTACTGGTAGCTTACTGGTAGTTTACTGGTAGCTTACTGGTAGCTTACTGGTAGTTTACTGGTAGCTTACTGGTAGTTTACTGGTAGTTTACTAGTAGTTTACTGGTAGTTTACTGGTAGTTTACTGTTAGTTTACTGGTAGTTTACTAGCAGTTTACTGGTAGTTTACTGGTAGTTTACTGGTTCTGCTCTGTATTTTGGTCATAATGGGACTGCAGGAAACCCAAACTAAATCATGTTTGTTCTTTATTATTATTAATAAACTGGATTCTTACTATGAAATGTCTGCAGGTTGGTGGCAACAAAACATCATCAATAAACTAAAACATGGAGACTTACTGTAATCGCTGTAGTTTACATTCTGGGTTCTGGAGGAAAACACAGAGCTGCTTCACTCCAGGGTCCTTCAGGTCGTTCCAGGTCAGGTCCAGTTCAGTCAGATGGGAGGGGTTAAAGGTCAGAGCTGAGGCCAGAGAAGAACAGCTGATCTCTGACAACCTGCAGCTCCTCAACCTGGATAAAGAATAAAAGATGTGAGCTGAACCAGCAGGATGCAGGTGAACCAGTCCAACAGAACCACATGAATGAATATTAATGCCAACATGAAGCTGCTGCTGCTTCAACCAAGACCTTCTGACTTCATCTCTGAAGCTGCAGCAGCTCCTGCAGCAGCTGCACCACAGCAGCTCCACCAGCAGCTGCAGCAACAAACTGCTGCAGCAAATCATCCAAGTTTCACACAAAACCAGAAACCAGGAGGAAAAACCAGCTGATGGAGATCAATGCTCAGAAATTCAACCGTTTCATTTTTCATCAGCCATGAAGATTCACTGTCACAGTGACTTTAGGACCAGAACCAGAACCAGAACAGAACCTGGTACTGGGTCATGATGAGTGGGAGGGTTTTACTGCAGAAGCATCAATCACTGATTATAGATCTGCTGCTGTCAGATTCTACAAGCTGAAGTTCCAGATTAAAACCATGAATGTTCATTATTCATTTCTTCTCTCCGTCAATCTGCAGATGCAGCCTGGGCTCTTATTTTGACACTTTACTGCTTCCTGTTTCCTCCTGCAGCATTTCCTCTGAACCATCAGGACTGATCTCTGGTCAGTTTCTCTGGTCAGAAGCTCTCAGCTCTCTGTGGCTCCACCTGGTGACCTCCAGCTGACCTTCAGCTGACCTCCAGATGACCTCCAGTTGACCTCCAGTTGACCTCCAGATGACATCCTGCTGACCTCCAGCTGACCTCTTGCTGACCTCCAGTTGACCTCCAGCTGACCTCCAACTGACCTTCAGCTGACCTCAGATGACCTTCAGCTGACCTCCAGATGACCTTCAGCTGACCTCTAGATGACCTCCAGCTGACCTCCAGATGACCTCCAGCAGACCTCCTGCTGACCTCCAGCTGACCTCCAGCTGACCTCCTGCTGACCTCCTGCTGACCTCCAGCTGACCTCCAGCCCTCTGGGAACCGAACTGATGATCTTCTCCTCCTCTGCTACTCTGACCTCCAGATGACCTCCAGCTGACCTCCAGATGACCTCCAGCTGACCTTCAGATGACCTCCAGATGACCTCCAGCTGACCTCCAGATGACCTCCAGCTGACCTTCAGCTGACATCCACAGACCTCCTGCTGACCTCCAGCTGACCTACAGATGACCTCCTGCTGACATCTAGATGACCTCCAGATGACCTTCAGCTGACCTCCTGCCCTCTGGGAACAGAACTGATGATCTTCTCCTCCTCTGCTTCACTCCAACATCCTGACAGAGTTTCCACTGGACGGCAGTTTCTCCTCCTTCACTCTGGTTTCATCCCTCCATCCTCACCTCTGACCTCTGAGGCAGGAAGTGAGCTCACTGAGCTGCTGACAGGAAGCTCAGAGTCTGCATGATGTCTGCAGATATTTAGATTTTATCCAGGAGAAAAACAGAAAGGCTGAGAAATCTCAGCATTAATCTGGATTTATTCCCACAGCTCTGATTATTACAGTGTTGGTAGTTTACTGGTAGTTTACTGGTAGTTTACTGGTAGCTTACTGGTAGCTTACTGGTAGTTTACTGGTAGTTTACTGGTAGCTTACTTTTAGCTTACTGGTAGTTTACTGGTAGCTTACTGGTAGCTTACTGGTAGTTTACTGGTAGCTTACTGGTAGCTTACTGGTAGTTTACTGGTAGCTTACTGGTAGTTTACTGGTAGTTTACTAGCAGTTTACTGGTAGTTTACTGGTAGTTTACTGGTAGTTTACTGGTAGCTTACTGGTAGCTTACTGGTAGCTTACTGGTAGTTTACTGGTAGTTTACTGGTAGCTTACTTTTAGCTTACTGGTAGTTTACTTGTAGCTTACTGGTAGTTTACTGGTAGTTTACTGGTAGCTTACTGGTAGTTTACTGGTAGCTTACTGGTAGCTTACTGGTAGTTTACTTGTAGCTTACTGGTAGTTTACTGGTAGTTTACTGGTAGTTTACTGGTAGCTTACTGGTAGCTTACTGGTAGTTTACTGGTAGTTTACTGGTAGCTTACTTTTAGCTTACTGGTAGTTTACTGGTAGCTTACTGGTAGTTTACTGGTAGCTTACTTTTAGCTTACTGGTAGCTTACTGGTAGTTTACTGGTAGCTTACTGGTAGTTTATTGGTAGTTTACTGGTAGCTTACTGGTAGCTTACTGGTAGTTTACTTGTAGCTTACTGGTAGTTTACTGGTAGTTTACTGGTAGCTTACTGGTAGTTTACTGGTAGTTTACTGGTAGTTTACTGGTAGCTTACTGGTAGTTTACTGTAGCTTACTGGTTTACTGGTAGCTTACTGGTAGTTTACTGGTACTTTACTGGTAGCTTACTGGTAGTTTACTGGTACTTTACTGGTAGCTTACTGGTAGTTTACTGGTAGCTTACTGTTTCTGTTGCTTTGTAGTTGCTCTGTTGCTCAGCAGTTTGTAGCAGATGAATCAGAAAGTTTAGAAAGTCGTTGGAGTTATTTCTAGACATCGACTGCAGACTGACTGAAAGGTTTTCCACCACAACGTCACACACCTGGACCAGGTGGTGCACCATGTGACCACAGGGGGCGCTAGCGAGCAATTATCGACATGAACATGTTGGAGACAAACAAGAGCCATCAGAACACGATGGTCACAGAATCTCCTGAGATCAGCTGCTGTTCATGGCATGTCTCATCGTATATTCAACTATTTAGAGCAAAATTAAATGAGTTATTGGCTTCATGGCACATTTAATTTATTCAAGAGAGATTTACCAATATGTATTTCATGGCAATTTATTCATTTAATTTTGCCACCTTTGAGCTTCCATAGATTCCAGAAGCTAAAGATTAAAAACATTCAAATAAATGCATGAATACATAAAATGTTATTATATCCTCTTTAACAGATTTAATTTCTAAAGAAAGAGAAACAACCAGTAAATCTGAAGTTGCAGCATCAGCACTTTGCTCTTATTCTGTGATTTTCCACTTCCTGTTTCCTCCCTGCAGCCTCTTTTACAGGAGAGCAGCTCAGAAACATCTGGACTGATCTCTGGAAACGACTTTACATCAGAAATATCAACAATGACTCAAGACACTGTTTCTTACTGCAGTCGTTGTATTCTGCATCCAGGATCCTGCAGAATATCACAGATCTCCTTCAGTCCATCATCTCCCAGGTTGTAGTCGTAGTAGTAGCTGTTGTTGTAAATGTTGTTGTTGCTCAGCTGCAGTCCAGGTTGACCTGACGGGTCGGAGGTCAGAGCTGAGGCCGGATCGTCACAGCTGATCTTTGACAAGCTGCAGTGGCTGAATCTGAATAAAGAACCAAAGATATGAGCTGAAGCCACCGGTCCAACAGAACCAGTTAGAACAACAGAACCAGTTAGAGCAACAGAACCAGTTAGAACATCAGAACCAGTTAGAACAACAGAACCAGTTAGAACATCAGAACCAGTTAGAACAACAGAACCAGTTAGAACATCAGAACCAGTTAGAGCAACAGAACCAGTTAGACCAACAGAACCAGTTAGAGCAACAGAACCAGTTAGAACAACAGAACCAGTTAGAGCAACAGAACCAGTTAGAACAACAGAACCAGTTAGAACATCAGAACCAGTTAGAACAACAGAACCAGTTAGAACAACAGAACCAGTTAGAACAACAGAACCAGTTAGAACAACAGAACCAGTTAAGCAACAGAACCAGTTAGAACATCAGAACCAGTTAGAACATCAGAACCAGTTAGAACATCAGAACCAGTTAGAACAACAGAACCAGTTAGAGCAACAGAACCAGTTAGAGCAACAGAACCAGTTAGAACAACAGAACCAGTTAGAACATCAGAACCAGTTAGAACAACAGAACCAGTTAGAACAACAGAACCAGTTAGAACAACAGAACCAGTTAGAACAACAGAACCAGTTAAAGCAACAGAACCAGTTAGAACATCAGAACCAGTTAGAACATCAGAACCAGTTAGAACATCAGAACCAGTTAGAACAACAGAACCAGTTAGAGCAACAGAACCAGTTAAAGCAACAGAACCAGTTAGAACATCAGAACCAGTTAGAACAAGAACCAGTTAGAACAACAGAACCAGTTAGAGCAACAGAACCAGTTAGAACAACAGAACCAGTTAGAGCAACAGAACCAGTTAGAACATCAGAACCAGTTAGAACAACAGAACCAGTTAGAACAACAGAACCAGTTAGAACAACAGAACCAGTTAGAACATCAGAACCAGTTAGAGCAACAGAACCAGTTAGAACAACAGAACCAGTTAGAACAACAGAACCAGTTAAAGCAACAGAACCAGTTAGAACAACAGAACCAGTTAGAACAACAGAACCAGTTAGAACAACAGTACCAGTTAAAGCAACAGAACCAGTTAGAACAACAGAACCAGTTAGAACAACAGAACCAGTTAAAGCAACAGAACCAGTTAGAACAACAGAACCAGTTAGAACATCAGAACCAGTTAGAACATCAGAACCAGTTAGAACAACAGAACCAGTTAGAACAACAGAACCAGTTAGAAAATCAGAACCAGTTAGAGCAACAGAACCAGTTAGAACAACAGAACCAGTTAGAACAACAGAACCAGTTAGAACAACAGAACCAGTTAGAACATCAGAACCAGTTAGAACAACAGAACAGTTAGAGCAACAGAACCAATTAGAACAACAGAACCAGTTAGAACATCAGAACCAGTTAGAGCAACAGAACCAGTTAGAACAACAGAACCAGTTAGAACAACAGAACCAGTTAGAACAACAGAACCAGTTAGAACAACAGAACCAGTTAGAACAACAGAACCAGTTAAAGCAACAGAACCATTAGAACAACAGAACCAGTTAGAACAACAGAACCAGTTAGAACAACAGTACCAGTTAAAGCAACAGAACCAGTTAGAACAACAGAACCAGTTAGAACATCAGAACCAGTTAGAACAACAGAACCAGTTAGAACAACAGAACCAGTTAGAACAACAGAACCAGTTAGAGCAACAGAACCAGTTAGAACAACAGAACCAGTTAGAACAGAACCAGTTAGAGCAACAGAACCAGTTAGAGCAACGAACCAGTTAAAGCAACAGAACCAGTTAGAACAACAGAACCAGTTAGAGCAACAGAACCAGTTAGAAAATCAGAACCAGTTAGAACAAAAGAACCAGTTAGAACATCAGAACCAGTTAGAGCAACAGAACCAGTTAGAACATCAGAACCAGTTAGAACAACAGAACCAGTTAGAACATCAGAACCAGTTAGAACAGAACCAGTTAGAACAACAGAACCAATTAGAAAATCAGAACCAGTTAGAACAAAAGAACCAGTTAGAACATCAGAACCAGTTAGAGCAACAGAACCAGTTAGAACATCAGAACCAGTTAGAACAACAGAACCAGTTAGAACATCAGAACAGTTAGAACAACAGAACCAGTTAGAGCAACAGAACCAGTTAGAACATCAGAACCAGTTAGAACAACAGAACCAGTTAGAACATCAGAACCAGTTAGAACAACAGAACCAGTTAGAGCAACAGAACCAGTTAGAACAACAGAACCAGTTTAGAACATCAGAACCAGTTAGAACAACAGAACCAGTTAGAACAACAGAACCAGTTAGAGCACAGAACCAGTTAGAACAACAGAACCAGTTAGAACAACAGAACCAGTTAGAACATCAGAACCAGTTAGAACAACAGAACCAGTTAGAGCAACAGAACCAGTTAGAACAACAGAACCAGTTAGAACATCAGAACCAGTTAGAACAACAGAACCAGTTTAGAACAACAGAACCAGTTAGAGCAACAGAACCAGTTAGAACAACAGAACCAGTTAGAGCATCAGAACCAGTTAGAACACAGAACCAGTTAGAACATCAGAACCAGTTAGAACAACAGAACCAGTTAGAACAACAGAACCAGTTAGAGCAACAGAACCAGTTAGAACAACAGAACCAGTTAGAACAACAGAACCAGTTAGAAATCAGAACCAGTTAGAACAACAGAACCAGTTAGAGCAACAGAACCAGTTAGAGCAACAGAACCAGTTAGAACAACAGAACCAGTTAGAACAACAGAACCAGTTAGAACATCAGAACCAGTTAGAACAACAGAACCAGTTAGAGCAACAGAACCAGTTAGAACAACAGAACCAGTTAGAGCAACAGAACCAGTTAGAGCAACAGAACCAGTTAGAACAACAGAACCAGTTAGAACAACAGAACCAGTTAGAACATCAGAACCAGTTAGAACAACAGAACCAGTTAGAGCAACAGAACCAGTTAGAGCAACAGAACCAGTTAGAACATCAGAACCAGTTAGAACAGCAGAACCAGTTAGAACAACAGAACCAGTTAGAACATCAGAACCAGTTAGAACAACAGAACCAGTTAGAACAACAGAACCAGTTAGAAGCAACAGAACCAGTTAGAAAATCAGAACCAATTAGAGCAACAGAACCAGTTAGAAACAACAGAACAAGTTAGAACATCAGAACCAGTTAGAACAACAGAACCAGTTAGAGCAACAGAACCAGTTAGAACAACAGAACCCGTTAGAACACAGAACCAGTTAGAACATCAGAACCAGTTAGAACAACAGAACCAGTTAGAACAACAGAACCAGTTAGAGCAACAGAAACCAGTTATAACAACAGAACCAGTTAGAGCAACAGAACCAGTTAGAAAATCAGAACCAATTAGAGCAACAGAACCAGTTAGAACAACCAGAACAAGTTAGAACATCAGAACCAGTTAGAACATCAGAACCAGTTAGAACAACAGAACCAGTTAGAACAACAGAACAGTTAGAACATCAGAACCAGTTAGAACAACAGAACCAGTTAGAACATCAGAACCAGTTGGAGCAACAGAACCAGTTAGAGCAACAGAACCAGTTAGAACAACAGAACCAGTTAGAACAACAGAACCAGTTAGAACAACAGAACCAGTTAGAAAATCAGAACCAATTAGAACAACAGAACCAGTTAGAACAACAGAACCAGTTAGAAAATCAGAACCAATTAGAACAACAGAACCAGTTAGAACATCAGAACCAATTAGAGCAACAGAACCAGTTAGAACAACAGAACCATTAGAACAACAGAACCAGTTAGAACATCAGAACCAATTAGAACAACAGAACCAGTTAGAACAACAGAACCAGTTAGAACAACAGAACCAGTTAGAAAATCAGAACCAATTAGAGCAACAGAACCAGTTAGAACATCAGAACCTGTTAGAACAACAGAACCAGTTAGAGCAACAGAACCAGTTAGAACAACAGAACCAGTTAGAACAACAGAACCAGTTAGAACAACAGAACCAGTTAGAAAATCAGAACCAGTTAGAACAACAGAACCAGTTAGAACAACAGAACCAGTTAGAACAACAGAACCAGTTAGAACAACAGAACCAGTTAGAACAACAGAACCAGTTAGAGCAACAGAACCAGTTAGAGCAACAGAACCAGTTAGAAAATCAGAAGCAGTTAGACAACAGAACCAGTTAGAACATCAGAACCAGTTAGAACAACAGAACCAGTTAGAACATCAGAACCAGTTAGAGCAACAGAACCAGTAGAACAACAGAAACCAGTTAGAGCAACAGAACCAGTTAGAACAACAGAACCAGTTAGAGCAAACAGAACCAGTTAGAACATCAGAACCAGTTTAGAGCAACAGAAACCAGTTAGAACAACAAGAACCAGTTAGAGCAACAGAACCAGTTAGAACATCAGAAACCAGTTAGAGCAACAGAACCAGTTAGAGCAACAGAACCAGTTAGAACAACAGAACCAGTTAGAACAACAGAACCAGTTAGAACAACAGAACCAGTTAGAGCAACAGAACCAGTTAGAACAACAGAACCAGTTAGAACATCAGAACCAGTTAGAACAACAGAACAGTTAGAGCAACCGAACCAGTTAAACATCAGAACCAGTTAGAGCACAGAACCAGTTAGAACACAGAACCAGTTAGAGCAACAGAACCAGTTAGAACATCAGAACCAGTAGAGCAAACAGAACCAGTTAGAGCAACAGAACCAGTTAGAACAACAGAACCAGTTAGAACAACAGAACCAGTTAGAACAACAGAACCAGTTAGAGCAACAGAACCAGTTAGAACAACAGAACCAGTTAGAACATCAGAACCAGTTAGAACAACAGAACCAGTTAGAGCAACAGAACCAGTTAGAACATCAGAACCAGTTAGAGCAACAGAACCAGTTAGAGCAACAGAACCAGTTAGAGCAACAGAACCAGTTAGAACAACAGAACCAGTTAGAACAACAGAACCAGTTAGAGCAACAGAACCAGTTAGAACAACAGAACCAGTTAGAGCAACAGAACCAGTTAAAGCAACAGAACCAGTTAGAAAATCAGAACCAGTTAGAACAACAGAAACCAGTTTAAAGCAACAGAACCAGTTAGAACAACAGAACCAGTTAGAACAACAGAACCAGTTAAAGCAACAGAACCAGTTAGAGCACAGAACCGTTAGAACAACAGAACCAGTTAGAGCAACAGAACCAGTTAAAGCAACAGAACAGTTAGAAAATCAGAACCAGTTAGAACAACAGAACAGTTAAAGCAACAGAACCAGTTAGAACAACAGAACCAGTTAGAACAACAGAACCATTAGAACATCAGAACCAGTTTAGAGCAACAACCAGTTAGAGCAACAGAACCATTTAGAGCAACAGAACCAGTTAGAACAACAGAACCAGTTAGAACAACAGAACCAGTTAGAGCAACAGAACCAGTTAGAACAACAGAACCAGTTAGAGCAACAGAACCAGTTAAAGCAACAGAACCAGTTAGAAAATCAGAACCAGTTGACAACAGAACCAGTTAAAGCAACAGAACCAGTTAGAACAACAGAACCAGTTAGAACAACAGAACCAGTTAGAGCACAGAACCAGTTAGAACAGAACCATTAGAGCAACAGAACCAGTTAAAGCAACAGAACCAGTTAGAACAACAGAACCAGTTAGAACAACAGAACCAGTTAAAGCAACAGAACCAGTTAGACAACAGAACCAGTTAGAACAACAGAACCAGTTAGAGCAACAGAACCAGTTAGAACAACAGAACCAGTTAGAACAACAGAACCAGTTAGAACAACAGAACCAGTTAGAGCAACAGAACCAGTTAGAACAACAGAACCAGTTAGAACAACAGAACCAGTTAGAGCAACAGAAACAGTTAGAAAATCAGAACCAGTTAGAACAACAGAACCAGTTAGAAAAATCAGAACCAGTTAGAACAACAGAACCAGTTAGAACAACAGAACCAGTTAGAACAACAGAACCAGTCAGAAAATCAGAACCAATTAGAGCAACAGAACCAGTTAGAACATCAGAACCAGTTAGAGAACAACAGACCAGTTAGAAAATCAGAACCAGTTAGAACAACAGAACCAGTTAGAACAACAGAACCAGTTAGAACAACAGAACCAGTCAGAAAATCAGAACCAATTAGAGCAACAGAACCAGTTAGAACATCAGAACCAATTAGAGCAACAGAACCAGTTAGAACATCAGAACCAGTTAGAACAACAGAACCAGTTAGAAAACAGAACCAGTTAGAAAACAAACCAGTCAGAAAATCAGAACCAATTAGAGCAACAGAACCAGTTAGAACAACAGAACCAGTTAGAAAATCAGAACCAGTTAGAACATCAGAACCAGTTAGAGCAACAGAACCAGTTAGAACATCAGAACCAGTTAGAGCAACAGAACCAGTTAGAGCAACAGAACCAGTTAGAGCAACAGAACCAGTTAGAACAACAGAACCAGTTAGAACATCAGAACCAGTTAGAACATCAGAACCAGTTAGAACAACAGAACCAGTTAGAACATCAGAACCAGTTAGAGCAACAGAACCAGTTAGAACATCAGAACCAGTTAGAACAACAGAACCAGTTAGAACAACAGAACCAGTTAGAACATCAGAACCAGTTAGAGCAACAGAACCAGTTAGAACATCAGAACCAGTTAGAACAACAGAACCAGTTAGAACAACAGAACCAGTTAGAACAACAGAACCAGTTAGAACATCAGAACCAGTTAGAACAACAGAACCAGTTAGAACAACAGAACCAGTTAGAACAACAGAACCAGTTAGAACATCAGAACCAGTTAGAACAACAGAACCAGTTAGAACAACAGAACCAGTTAGAACAACAGAACCAGTTAGAACAACAGAACCAGTTAGAACAACAGAACCAGTTAGAACATCAGAACCAGTTAGAACAACAGAACCAGTTAGAACAACAGAACCAGTTAGAACAACAGAACCAGTTAGAGCAACAGAACCAGTTAGAACAACAGAACCAGTTAGAACAACAGAACCAGTTAGAACAACAGAACCAGTTAGAGCAACAGAACCAGTTAGAACATCAGAACCAGTTAGAACAACAGAACCAGTTAGAACAACAGAACCAGTTAGAGCAACAGAACCAGTTAGAACATCAGAACCAGTTAGAGCAACAGAACCAGTTAGAACAACAGAACCAGTTAGAGCAACAGAACCAGTTAGAACATCAGAACCAGTTAGAACAACAGAACCAGTTAGAACAACAGAACCAGTTAGAACAACAGAACCAGTTAGAACATCAGAACCAGTTAGAGCAACAGAACCAGTTAGAACAACAGAACCAGTTAGAGCAACAGAACCAGTTAGAACATCAGAACCAGTTAGAACAACAGAACCAGTTAGAGCAACAGAACCAGTTAGAACAACAGAACCAGTTAGAACAACAGAACCAGTTAGAGCAACAGAACCAGTTAAAGCAACAGAACCAGTTAGAACAACAGAACCAGTTAGAACAACAGAACCAGTTAGAGCAACAGAACCAGTTAGAACATCAGAACCAGTTAGAGCAACAGAACCAGTTAGAACAACAGAACCAGTTAGAGCAACAGAACCAGTTAGAACAAACAGAACCAGTTAGAACAACAGAACCAGTTAGAACAACAGAACCAGTTAGAGCAACAGAACCAGTTAGAACAACAGAACCAGTTAGAACAACAGAACCAGTTAGAGCAACAGAACCAGTTAGAACAACAGAACCAGTTAGAAAATCAGAACCAGTTAGAACATCAGAACCAGTTAGAACAACAGAACCAGTTAGAGCAACAGAACCAGTTAGAACAACAGAACCAGTTAGAGCAACAGAACCAGTTAGAACATCAGAACCAGTTAGAACAACAGAACCAGAGCAACAGAACCAGTTAGAACAACAGAACCAGTTAGAGCAACAGAACCAGTTAGAACAACAGAACCAGTTAGAGCAACAGAACCAGTTAGAACATCAAACCAGTTAGAGCAACAGAACCAGTTAGAACAACAGAACCAGTTAGAACAACAGAACCAGTTAGAACAACAGAACCAGTTAGAGCAACAGAACCAGTTAGAACAACAGAACCAGTTAGAACAACAGAACCAGTTAGAACAACAGAACCAGTTAGAACAACAGAACCAGTTAGAAAATCAGAACCAGTTAGAACAACAGAACCAGTTAGAGCAACAGAACCAGTTAGAGCAACAGAACCAGTTAGAACAGCCATTCTTAACCACAGTTGGGCCACCAGCCACCTAGAGGGCTGCAGGAAACCCCCAGGTTTTTACCTGTGATAAAGTTTACAGAAATCATGATGCAGCATCAGAATGCAGGCGCTCAGTTTCCACCACTTGGTGGCAGTAGTGTGCCAGTCAGTTGTTAAAACGCTCTAATAAGCTTCTTTACCAACAATAAGCCAGAGACGTTCGGTACTGGATTCGTATTTCATGCTAAATATGATCATCTGTAGCTCTGAGAAACTCGTCTTCCTGATCACAAGCTGGGAATCAGGATCAACAAAGATCAAACCCAGCAGAACCAGACCGGACCTGGTCGGCCCGAGAGGCTGGTCTCCCTGGAGGAGAACCAGACGGACAACAGCAGTTTGGCAACACATAAAACTGTTGACCTTTTATAGAAAAAATCTGGAACTTTCAGAGATTCAAAAGTTAAAAATGTTCAGAAATTTCAAATTCAAATTGATATTTAGCTGCAATTTTTATGCAGTTCAGTTAATAACCAACTGATTGAGCTGCAAATGCAGATCCCAGCATAAATAAAGATGAACGCATCTAACTGTGTCTCACTGTGACAAAACGACTAAATACAAAATCACTGACTGGAGCAAATAACTTCTGAAATGAAAGGACTTCACTGGAATGATGACGCTTCACCTGCGCCTCACAACTTCCTCCTGGTCGCATCCAGAGGACAAATCTACGCTGGTCGGATCCGTCTCATCCAACCCATGAACTTTACTGTCCAAGCCTGAATTAAAGCCAACACATTTATGCTTTAGGCCACCATGTGAGTCGGCCTGGAGAGTGAAACCTCTCCAGGTTTTATCTGTTGTCCATCCTCCCCAGTCTGGAGGGATCCACTGAACTCAGGAAGCTGTTCATCCCGACTGCGGTCCGGCTCAGGATCAGGGACTTTACCAGGATTGATCTGGGTGCTTTGCTTCCCTGAACCCGACTGATGTTCGGCCTGCAGAGACCGAAGGAAGGCGCCGTCTTCCAGCTCCGTGTCTGAACATCTGCAGCTAGCAATAGTGCCACTGTTAGCAACTTAGCAGCTTCTTCACACACTTTGGGACATTTCAGACAAGAAATATCAACCACAAAAGGAAGACCAGTCAAAAAAATAAATAATCTGGTAACGGGACAGGAAACTGCAATCAATGCAGCCTTAATAATTTCATCAGAAGGAAAGCCTGGTGGCCCGCCAGGCTGATAATGCACTGGGGGAAACCAGGTGGCCCGCCAGGCTGATAATGCACTGGGAAAAAACCTGGTGGCCCGCCAGGCTGATAATGCACTGGGGGAAACCTGGTGGCCCGCCAGGCTGATTATGCGCTGGGGGAACCAGAGTTTTCTCATGTCTGATGAAAATGAATCAGGGAATTTGAGGATGAGGCTGCAGGTGGCAGCTTCATGTCTTTGTTTTCCTGTTTCCACTTTAACATGAGAGCAGCTCTTAAACATCAGGATTCATCTCAATACTGATGTTTATTCACATCACAAACATCAGCAATAAACTAAAACATGGAGACTTACTGTAATCGCTGTAGTTTACATTCTGGGTTCTGGAGGAAACCACACAACTCCTTCACTCCAGGGTCCTTCAGGTCGTTCCAGGTCAGGTCCAGTTCAGTCAGATGGGAGGGGTTAAAGGTCAGAACTGAGACCAGAGAAGAACAGCTGATCTCTGACAACCTGCAGTCCTTCAACCTGGATAAAGAATAAAAGATGTGAGCTGAACCAACAGGATGCAGGTTAAAACTGAAATATCAACAAATTAATAATAAAATGTAGAAAATTAATTTCACTGAATGTAAAAGTGAAACATGATGAACTGATGTTTAATATTTGATCCAGTAAAACTGGTTTATAGAGTCCAAACCAGCAGAACCAGAACATGTTATTATGACGTGTGTTAGAATGTTTCAGTGGTTCTGGTCGGGAATTAAAATGGACTTTCAGAACCAAAGTGACATCAGAGCCTGAGGAAAGTTAGATGGGAATGCCTTCGATGTGCAGCTGGAGGTCAGAGGTCAGATTCTGATTTACAGAAACAGTTTGATCTGAATGACTTCAATGAATCGATCAATATTGGTATTGATCCATGATAGCAGGACTGGCTGAACATCAATCAGCACAAAATATAAAGTCTGTTTTCCACAGATGGAGAATTTCAGTCTGGAAAGTTTCTTCCTGAAAAAACTGTTGGTGCACATAAAGTTCAGCTTCCTATTAAATGTGATCTTAATGGGAGCAACTGGGATGGAACTGGGATTGAACTGGGATGGAACTGGGAATGAACTGGGATGGAACTGGGATTGAACTGGGAATGTACTGGGATTGAACTGGGATTGAACTGGGACCAATGGTGAAGGAAGGACACAGTGTTTGGTCCAAAAACCTTGAAATCAAAGAAGAAAGAAATAAAAATCCTGGTGAAATTGACCTGAATTAAACTTTAATCTAAGTGACACATTAACAATAAATAATTCAAATCCATAAATGAAACAAACTGGTTGGCATTTTGGGTCAGCAAAGGCTAACATCAGTCAACTGTATTGATCATTGAGGAACATTTAAAATAACATGTTAATGTAAATAAAACCTTTTTAATCTAAACTCCTTTTACAGTGTTATATGTAGAGCAGCACCAGCCTCATGTCGGCCCTCGGTTTTGATCGAAGGTCTGAATGGACCAGAATAATGAATAATCCGAGTTTTGGAGATGAATGAAAGATTTCCGGTTCATTAATGAATCATCTTGTAAACATGAGCAGCAGCAGCCCGATGAAAACCAGGCTGTGGTTTCCCTGCATCCAATCAGGTTGGCTTTGGTTCCCTGATCAATGATGAGGATGAAGAATCATCATCATCCTCAGTGTGAAGCTGGCCACCGTCTGCTCTTCCAGCCGCTCTAAACATTAGCAGCTTTTAGCTCCTGCTAACTTATTCACAGAGTCACTTTCCTCTGGTATGGAGACAACAAACACTTCACCATGCAGTAATGCTATCACTGGATGTAGCATTAGCTGCTACCTCAATGGAGCATGCTAACAGCTCTAATCGCGCTAAGCTAGCTTAGCTTAGCATCAGGAAGCCTTTTACCGTCGGTTTGCTCCGTTATTCTCAGTAAATTCCTTCATTGTCTTCAGTGTTAGACATTAATCTCTCTTTGTCACGTTTCTGCTTTCACTAGAGGTGGGGATCCATCCCAGTATTGATCACATCGGTACCAATATTGATCATATTGATATTGAAGGAAATATTAAAGTGTTTCATCTGAATCTGTCCCACACCAAACTGGAGCGTCTCCACCTTTCATTCATTTATTTACCTCCATTTGCTTCAGCAGCAAAACATTTCAACTAAAGTTCAATATTCTGACAGCCTGAAATATGAAAATAATTTATTTTAATGGAAAAATGTTTGACAAAAAATATTCTGCTTTTTGACATCAGGATGTTTGTTAGGCAAATAAATGATGAATGAAAATAATTGTTAACGTATCAATGAATCATTTTGACAGAGAAAACAAACCTTAAAGTCTGACTTTAGTGACTGAACTCTGCAGGATCTCACACAGAGCTTCATCCCAGAGTCTGAAACGGTTCCCTCCATGTTGATCTCATTTATTTCCACTTCAGTCAGATGTTGGTTGACTGCAGAGCTGAGGCCAGAGAAGAACAGCTGATCTCTGACAAACTGCATTTCTCCAACCTGGATAAAGAATAAAAGATGTGAGCTGAACCAGCAGGATGCAGGTGAACCAGTCCAACAGAACCAGATGAATGAATATTAATGCCAACATGAAGCTGCTGCTGCTTCAACTGCAGGATTTTAGTAAGAAAAATCCTTCCAGGTCTGATCAAAGTACTGAATCATCAATCATTGATTATAGATTTGTTCCTGACAGACAGGTTAGAAATGGATCAATTAAATAAAGATAAAATTAAATACATATAAATCTCCCATTAATTCAATAATGCATCATAAAAATATAAAAAAACACTTAAAAATATCACAAAGTCCTTTAATACATTAATAACTGAATATATAATGAAATTCTGACGTATTCAGTGAATAATTAGGTCAACCTTTAGAAATGAATTGAAATCATAAAACGTCCTGTTAGTGCAGTGGTTCCCAAAGTGTGGGGCGCGCCCCTAGAGGGAACACGGTGCACTGCAGGGGGCAGGAAGAGTATGATGGAAAATAAAGCAGTTACACAGTTAAAGTGTTTCACTGTAAAGATGGTTTGTTGTTTTGCTGGAACCTGAAGTGTGAAATAAAGTCCAGTGGAGATTGAAAACAAATGTGTGTTTAGGTTGATGTGTGGCTGAACGATGAGCCCAGATGATTGTTGTTCTTTTTGGGGCTTTTATTGTGATCCATTGGGGCCAGAAAGTCTTTGGATCCTGAGTTAGAGAAATGTTTCTATGGAAATATTTCTAAGTGTTTCCCTGGATGTATTTATCATGGCTGCGTCTCAACATTAATAACTTAAACCCAGCCATCAGCCTCGTGGGCGGGGCTAACACTCATCCTGGCTCATCCATTGGTTGGTTCTGCTGGGTCTGTTCCAACATGGCGGCTCGTTCATGCAGAACCTGAACTGGTGAGACATTTCAGACCAAGATCGAGACGCAGAGGCTGGAGCTGCTCAGCAGTTTGTAGCAGATGAATCACAGAAAGTTTAGAAAGTCGTTGGAGTTATTTAGACATCGACTGCAGACTGACTGAAAGTTTTCCACCACAACGTCACACACCTGGACCAGGTGGTGCACCATGTGACCTCAGGGGGCGCTAGCGAGCAATTATCGACATGAACATGTTGGAGACAAACAAGAGCCATCAGAACACGATGGTCACAGAATCTCCTGAGATCAGCTGCTGTTCATGGCATGTCTCATCATATATTCAACTATTTAGAGCAAAATTAAATGAGTTATTGGCTTCATGGCTCATTTAATTTATTCAAGAGAGATTTACCAATATGTATTTCATGGCACATTTATTCATTTAATTTTGCCACCTTTGAGCTTCCATAGATTCCAGAAGCTAAAGATTAAAACATTCAAATAAATGCATGAATACATAAAATGTTATTATTCCTCTTTAACAGATTTAATTTCTAAAGAAAGAGAAACAACCAGTAAATCTGAAGTTGCAGCATCAGCACTTTGCTCTTATTCTGTGATTTTCCACTTCCTGTTTCCTCCCTGCAGCCTCTTTTACAGGAGAGCAGCTCAGAAACATCTGGACTGATCTCTGGAAACGACTTTACATCAGAAATATCAACAATGACTCAAGACACTGTTTCTTACTGCAGTCGTTGTATTCTGCATCCAGGATCCTGCAGAATATCACAGATCTCCTTCAGTCCATCATCTCCCAGGTTGTAGTAGCTGTTGTTGTAAATGTTGTTGTTGCTCAGCTGCAGTCCAGGTTGACCTGACGGGTCGGAGGTCAGAGCTGAGGCCGGATCGTCACAGCTGATCTTTGACAAGCTGCAGTGGCTGAATCTGAATAAAGAACCAAAGATATGAGCTGAAGCCACCGGTCCAACAGAACCAGTTAGAACAACAGAACCAGTTAGAACAACAGAACCAGTTAGAACAACAGAACCAGTTAGAGCAACAGAACCAGTTAAAGCAACAGAACCAGTTAGAAAATCAGAACCAGTTAGAACAACAGAACCAGTTAAAGCAACAGAACCAGTTAGAACAACAGAACCAGTTAGAACAACAGAACCAGTTAGAACAACAGAACCAGTTAGAACATCAGAACCAGTTAGAGCAACAGAACCAGTTAGAGCAACAGAACCAGTTAGAACAACAGAACCAGTTAGAACAACAGAACCAGTTAGAACAACAGAACCAGTTAGAGCAACAGAACCAGTTAGAACAACAGAACCAGTTAGAACAACAGAACCAGTTAGAGCAACAGAACCAGTTAGAGCAACAGAACCAGTTAGAACAACAGAACCAGTTAGAACAGAACCAGTTAGAACAACAGAACCAGTTAGAACAGAACCAGTTAGAACAACAGAACCAGTTAGAGCAACAGAACCAGTTAAAGCAACAGAACCAGTTAGAGCAACAGAACCAGTTAGAACAACAGAACCAGTTAGAACAGAACCAGTTAGAGCAACAGAACCAGTTAGAACATCAGAACCAGTTAGAGCAACAGAACCAGTTAGAACAACAGAACCAGTTAGAACAACAGAACCAGTTAGAGCAACAGAACCAGTTAAAGCAACAGAACCAGTTAGAAAATCAGAACCAGTTAGAACAACAGAACCAGTTAGAACATCAGAACCAGTTAGAACATCAGAACCAGTTAGAACAACAGAACCAGTTAGAGCAACAGAACCAGTTAGAACAACAGAACCAGTTAGAACAACAGAACCAGTTAGAGCAACAGAACCAGTTAGAACAACAGAACCAGTTAGAACAACAGAACCAGTTAGAGCAACAGAACCAGTTAGAGCAACAGAACCAGTTAGAACAACAGAACCAGTTAGAACAGAACCAGTTAGAGCAACAGAACCATTTAGAACATCAGAACCAGTTAGAACAACAGAACCAGTTAAAGCAACAGAACCAGTTAGAACAGCAGAACCAGTTAGAACAACAGAACCAGTTAGAACATCAGAACCAGTTAGAGCAACAGAACCAGTTAGAACATCAGAACCAGTTAGAGCAACAGAACCAGTTAGAACAACAGAACCAGTTAGAACAACAGAACCAGTTAGAGCAACAGAACCAGTTAGAACAACAGAACCAGTTAGAACAACAGAACCAGTTATAGCAACAGAACCAGTTAGAGCAACAGAACCATTTAGAACATCAGAACCAGTTAGAACAACAGAACCAGTTAGAACAACAGAACCAGTTAGAACATCAGAACCAGTTAGAGCAACAGAACCATTTAGAACATCAGAACCAGTTAGAGCAACAGAACCAGTTAAAGCAACAGAACCAGTTAGAACAGCAGAACCAGTTAGAACAACAGAACCAGTTAGAACATCAGAACCAGTTAGAGCAACAGAACCAGTTAGAACAACAGAACCAGTTAGAACAACAGAACCAGTTAGAGCAACAGAACCAGTTAAAGCAACAGAACCAGTTAGAACATCAGAACCAGTTAGAACAAAAGAACCAGTTAGAACAGCAGAACCAGTTAAAACAACAGAACCAGTTAGAACAACAGAACCAGTTAGAGCAACAGAACCAGTTAGAACAACAGAACCAGTTAGAACATCAGAACCAGTTAGAACAACAGAACCAGTTAGAACATCAGAACCAGTTAGAACATCAGAACCAGTTAGAACAACAGAACCAGTTAGAACAACAGAACCAGTTAGAGCAACAGAACCAGTTAGAACAGAACCAGTTAGAGCAACAGAACCAGTTAGAACAATAGAACCAGTTAGAGCAACAGAACCAGTTAGAGCAACAGAACCAGTTAGAGCAACAGAACCATTTAGAACATCAGAACCAGTTAGAACAACAGAACCAGTTAGAGCAACAGAACCAGTTAGAACAGAACCAGTTAGAGCAACAGAACCACTTAGAACAACAGAACCAGTTAGAGCAACAGAACCAGTTAGAACATCAGAACCAGTTAGAGCAACAGAACCAGTTAGAACAACAGAACCAGTTAGAGCAACAGAACCAGTTAGAACATCAGAACCAGTTAGAACAACAGAACCAGTTAGAGCAACAGAACCAGTTAGAACAACAGAACCAGTTAGAGCAACAGAACCAGTTAGAGCAACAGAACCAGTTAGAGCAACAGAACCAGTTTAGAGCAACAGAACCAGTTAGAACATCAGAACCAGTTAGAACAACAGAACCAGTTAGAACAACAGAACCAGTTAGAACATCAGAACCAGTTAGAACAGAACCAGTTAGAGCAACAGAACCAGTTAGAGCAACAGAACCAGTTAGAACAACAGAACCAGTTAGAACAACAGAACCAGTTAGAGCAACAGAACCAGTTAGAACATCAGAACCACTTAGAACAACAGAACCAGTTAGAGCAACAGAACCATTTAGAGCAACAGAACCACTTAGAACAACAGAACCAGTTAGAGCAACAGAACCAGTTAGAACATCAGAACCAGTTAGAACAACAGAACCAGTTAGAGCAACAGAACCAGTTAGAGCAACAGAACCAGTTAGAGCAACAGAACCATTTAGAACATCAGAACCAGTTAGAACAACAGAACCAGTTAGAACAACAGAACCAGTTAGAACATCAGAACCAGTTAGAACAGAACCAGTTAGAGCAACAGAACCAGTTAGAGCAACAGAACCAGTTAGAGCATCAGAACCAGTTAGAACAACAGAACCATTTAGAACATCAGAACCAGTTAGAACAACAGAACCAGTTAGAACATCAGAACCAGTTAGAACAACAGAACCAGTTAGAACAGAACCAGTTAGAACAACAGAACCAGTTAGAGCAACAGAACCAGTTAGAACAACAGAACCAGTTAGAACAACAGAACCAGTTAGAGCAACAGAACCATTTAGAACATCAGAACCAGTTAGAACAACAGAACCAGAGCAACAGAACCAGTTAGAACAACAGAACCAGTTAGAGCAACCGAACCAGTTAGAACATCAGAACCAGTTAGAGCAACAGAACCAGTTAGAGCAACAGAACCAGTTAGAGCAACAGAACCAGTTAGAACAACAGAACCAGTTAGAGCAACAGAACCAGTTAGAACAACAGAACCAGTTAGAACAGAACCAGTTAGAACAACAGAACCAGTTAGAACAACAGAACCAGTTAGAGCAACAGAACCAGTTAGAGCAACAGAACCAGTTAAAGCAACAGAACCAGTTAGAACATCAGAACCAGTTAGAACAACAGAACCAGTTAGAACAACAGAACCAGTTAGAACATCAGAACCAGTTAGAACAACAGAACCAGTTAGAACAACAGAACCAGTTAGAACAACAGAACCAGTTAGAACATCAGAACCAGTTAGAACAACAGAACCAGTTAGAGCAACAGAACCAGTTAGAGCAACAGAACCAGTTAGAGCAACAGAACCAGTTAGAGCAACAGAACCAGTTAGAGCAACAGAACCAGTTAGAACAACAGAACCAGTTAGAACAACAGAACCAGTTAGAACAACAGAACCAGTTAGAACATCAGAACCAGTTAGAGCAACAGAACCAGTTAGAACAACAGAACCAGTTAGAACATCAGAACCAGTTAGAGCAACAGAAGTTAGAACAACAGAACCAGTTAAAGCAACAGAACCAGTTAGAACATCAGAACCAGTTAGAGCAACAGAACCAGTTAGAACAACAGAACCAGTTAAAGCAACAGAACCAGTTAGAACATCAGAACCAGTTAGAACAACAGAACCAGTTAAAGCAACAGAACCAGTTAGAACAGCAGAACCAGTTAGAACAACAGAACCAGTTAGAGCAACAGAACCAGTTAAAGCAACAGAACCAGTTAGAACATCAGAACCAGTTAGAACAACAGAACCAGTTAGAACAACAGAACCAGTTAGAACATCAGAACCAGTTAGAACAAAAGAACCAGTTAGAACAACAGAACCAGTTAGAACATCAGAACCAGTTAGAACAACAGAACCAGTTAGAACATCAGAACCAGTTAGAACATCAGAACCAGTTAGAACAAAAGAACCAGTTAGAACAACAGAACCAGTTAGAACAACAGAACCAATTAGAACAACAGAACCAGTTAGCACATCAGAACCAGTTAGAACAAAAGAACCAGTTAGAACAACAGAACCAGTTAGAGCAACAGAACCAGTTAGAACAACAGAACCAGTTAGAGCAACAGAACCAGTTAGAACAACAGAACCAGTTAGAACAGAACCAGTTAGAACAACAGAACCAGTTAGAACAACAGAACCAGTTAGAGCAACAGAACCAGTTAGAGCAACAGAACCAGTTAAAGCAACAGAACCATTAGAACATCAGAACCAGTTAGAACAACAGAACCAGTTAGAACAACAGAACCAGTTAGAACATCAGAACCAGTTAGAACAACAGAACCAGTTAGAACATCAGAACCAGTTAGAACAACAGAACCAGTTAGAGCAACAGAACCAGTTAGAGCAACAGAACCAGTTAGAGCAACAGAACCAGTTAGAACAACAGAACCAGTTAGAGCAACAGAACCAGTTAGAACAACAGAACCAGTTAGAACAGAACCAGTTAGAACAACAGAACCAGTTAGAACAACAGAACCAGTTAGAGCAACAGAACCAGTTAGAGCAACAGAACCAGTTAGAACAACAGAACCAGTTAGAGCAACAGAACCAGTTAGAACATCAGAACCAGTTAGAGCAACAGAACCAGTTAGAACAACAGAACCAGTTAGAACATCAGAACCAGTTTAGAGCAACAGAACCAGTTAGAACAACAGAACCAGTTAAAGCAACAGAACCAGTTAGAACATCAGAACCAGTTAGAGCAACAGAACCAGTTAGAACAACAGAACCAGTTAAAGCAACAGAACCAGTTAG